AACACAAAATTCAGGATAACAGACCTCTACTGGGGAAGCGGAGGGCTGAGAGGAAGACACATCGGCAGTTTGGGGGGTATTGGTAATAATCTAATTTAGGTATTATATATGTATATATAATATCTCTCTATATATACATATATATGAACGTATTTACTTTCGCATGAAAAAGAAATTTCTTTTCCCAGTCCGGCAAGGCAAAACTCCTAAAATAAGCCCGAGACGAAAAAATAAAAACTCTTTCACCCGGTGACAAAAACCACACAGAAAATGTGTTGTCAGTCTTGTGTGCCTGGGAAGGTTTTTTCGGGTATTCGTTGATCTGTTTTCTGTCCTTGGCCTGACATACCATATAAATGACTATATTTTTTTTTACTTCCCATTTTTCTTTGGCTGCTGGGAAGCTCCAAAGTGGATTTCTGACTTCCTGTTCTTCATTCTTGGACCCTGGGACCGGCCCTTCCATATCGACAACCCCACTTCCTCTGTGATCTTATTTCTTTTTTTTTTTTTTTTTTTTTTTTCAACGTTTATTTATTTTTGGGACAGAGAGAGACAGAGCATGAACGGGGGAGGGGCAGAGAGAGAGGGAGACACAGAATCGGAAACAGGCTCCAGGCTCTGAGCCATCAGCCCAGAGCCTGATGCGGGGCTCGAACCCACGGGCCGCGAGATCGTGACCTGGCTGAAGTCTGACGCTTAACCGACTGCGCCACCCAGGCGCCCCTGTGGTCTTATTTCAACAGTTAAAATGGTGTCCGCCTCTCCAGTCCAGGCTAGAGATGTACTTTAGCCAGACTGCAGATGCTTCAACACGAATTTACCTTTTACCTTTTCATCTGAGGGGAAAGGCACAAATCCTAAGCGTGTGGCCCCCCTTACACGTTCACGAACTGCACACACCCATAGAACCAACCCAGGGGAAGACTCAGAATGTTCCAGGCAATCGTGCTCACGTCTCCTCCCAGCGGTCCCCGCCTCTCCGAGGAAAACTACCAGCTGGCTTCTAACCTCAGAGATTCCAATTTGAAATTTTGTTTTTGTTTTTGTTTTTTAAATGGCGTTTCTGAAAGTTATATCAGGAAATCTGCGTTTCTGCCATCTTCTGAGGAAACCCAGTCAGGTGGCCTGGGCCATTTTAAGGCAGCTGTCCCTTAGAAAGGTATGGTTTCTCCAGCCCCACCTGGCTCACCTCCTCATTTGTCACCTACGCGGCCACTGATATAAGTCTTACCACACTTGCCTGTTTCCATCACTTGACTCCAATGTCAACGTGTTTGTACTGTGACCACCCTGAGTCTTTTGTACAACAAGACAGCATTGGATAAACAAATAAGTAAATCAAAAAGGAGGGACAAGAGCTCCTCTCCAGCCATCAGATATTCCAAATAAAGAAACTTCCTGGGGCGCCTGGGTGGCGCAGTCGGTTAAGCGTCCGACTTCAGCCGGGTCACGATCTCGCGGTCCGTGAGTTCGAGCCCCGCGTCAGGCTCTGGGCTGATGGCTCAGAGCCTGCAGCCTGCTTCCGATTCTGTGTCTCTCTCTGCCCCTCCTCGGCTTGCGTACTGTCTCCCTCTCTCAAATATAAATAAACATCAAAAACTAAGTAAAAGTAAAAACCATAATAACATGAACATTATCTTAACAGAAACAAAACAGAAAGACTTTTTCTAAAAAAGGTGACATGACTTTAATGTTGTCCCCTCGGAATGGCTTCTACCATTGACTGACCTTGTCGCCTGATCTACGTCTGCACGACGACGGCAGAGACTGGTAGAGGTCCCCCAATGCCCATCTCCCCCTTCTTCCTCTTGCGACCAACCCCCAAATTTAACCCGGCACGTGGCCGTCTAAAACGAAGAGTACATTTCCCAGACCTCCAAATCCCTGCTGCCCGCCGGATATGGCCATGAAACACGAACTTGGAAAATGTCCTTAAAGGGAAGGAGTGCATCTGTCTTCACCCTTCCTCTTTCCTGCTAGCTGTAATACAGAACGATGACAGGAGCCCCAGCAAATGGTCTTCAGCCACATGCCGGAGATCAGGGCGGTGCAAGGAGCCTGGGTCCCGACATTGCAGAGAGCTGTATGAGACTCACTCCTGTGCGACAGAAGTAAGCTCCCATGTTCGTTAAGCCACTGTGATTTTTCTGTTACGTGCAGCCACACCTAATTCTGACTGATCTACTCACTTGAGTTTCTCTATTCTAAAATCAAAACAATTTTGGCAAACATCTTCCGACATAAACGTGGCTTAGAGCAGCAAATCTTTTCCTCAGGTTAGAACATTTAGTTCCTGGGGGGAAGGGGCACAAGTCTAAACTAATTCGCCCTGCAGGGCTGACCAGGAAACTATAGTTTAAAGTTCACGTCAGGGGCGCCTGGGTGGCGCAGTCGGTTAAGCGTCCGACTTCAGCCAGGTCACGATCCCGCGGTCCGGGAGTTCGAGCCCCGCGTCGGGCTCTGGGCTGATGGCTCAGAGCCTGGAGCCTGTTTCCGATTCTGTGTCTCCCTCTCTCTCTGCCCCTCCCCCGCTCATGCTCTGTCTCTCTCTGTCCCAAAAATAAATAAATGTTGAAAAAAAAATTAAAAAAAAAAAAGTTCACGTCAGTCCAGGGCGTGTTAGTCAGAGATTTTTGTCCCAGTGAGCGATCGCCGGCATCGGCTTGAAATTCTTTTTCCCCCATCTAGAATTCTCACGGCCCCATTTTAAGGCGGTGACTTGCCCCAGTTGTTTCTGAGTTTAAAATGCAGATTCATGGATCCACTCTAGAACAATGAAATCAAGATCTTTGGTAGGGGGTCCCAGGGCTCTGCATTTTAAACAAGTATCTTAGTAGGTCCTGAGTCCACGAAAATTTGAGATTTTTTTTGACGCCTCTTTCTTTCTTTCTTTCATAAGCTGGAGGAGACCCCAAAATGTTTTCTGAGAGACATTTTGGCTCTAGCTTCTAGGCACCTGTATTTCACCCTCCGCTGAGATGGGATAGGGCACCAGCCCGCCATGTGTCTGGATGGAATCCTAGTTCTCTTTTCCCTTTTAGTTCTTAAAAGCACAATAATCTTCTTTTTATCAATAACGCAGGTTCTTGAAGAGATTACAGCCTCATATTCTGCCTTGTTCAGTTTTATCAAAATCCTAGTCAGGACAAATAACGTGGGTGGCAGATTTCCCGAGAACAAGGATCCACTCACTTTTGTAGCTATTCTAAAATGTACCCTTGAAATGTACCAGAGTAGCAGCGACTTGCCTGATTGGATTACATTGTTTTCTCCCCTTGTTTGGTTTTATTTTTGCTGCACTGTACCTTGGAGTTACACTATCAGCCTTACTTTGAACACTGTTACAAGGAACGACTGTAGGAGATTTGTTACTATGACTATGGCAAGGGCCTTGGTGAGAACGTTTCCCATCGACTCAGCCCTCCCATCACGAGAACCAACCCATGGGAGAATTGCTCAGGTCCCAATAGCAGACAGCACCGTCCTTCCAAAGAATAATTGTTTGTTTTCACCTAATGGACGTGATAAATACAATTACTGATTGTTTGTTCTTCTTTGCCTTGGTTTCTCTGAGAGATTTCACAATGAAATATCTTGTGACCTACTTTGAGCAAATGAACAGATATGCATTACTTTGTGCTGGTCTTAGCCCTGAACTTTACATTATTACATGTTTTCCTACATCATACCTCCCAAACTACATATTGCGTCATTTGTATGGTATGTTTTTGTTTGTTTTTAAAATTTTTGTTTGTTTGTTTATTTAGTTTTGAGACAGAGAGAGAGAGACAGAGCATGAACGGGGGAGGGTCAGAGAGAGGGAGACACAGAATCTGAAGCAGGCTCCGGGCTCTGAGCTGTCAGCACAGAGCCCGACCTGGGGCTCGAACTCACGGACTGCGAGATCATGACCTGAGCCGAAGATGGCTTAACCGACTGAGCCACCCAGGCGCCCCAGTATGGTATGTTTTTTAATAAGCAACGGCTAATCCTTTGTAAAGGGATTAGCCTTGTAGAGGGAGGGATAGATGGAGAGAAATCCGGATCTTCTCGATCCACATCTGATTTTCTCTTTCTATCAGTTTCCCTCTTTGCATCCCCTCCCCACGGAAACACACACTCAAAAAGGAAAAGAGAGAAATAAAAATGCTATGATTTATAAGTAAATACAACTGTTTCTAAGAGTAGTTGGGGAGAGTAGCGGGAGAGGGGGAGAGGGGGTAGGCAAATGAATGGAAAACAAGACAAAGATAAAAGAAATGAAAAAGAAAGTATAAAGGAAGAAAAGGAGCGTGTAAAGAAGTAAGGATCGGGGGCGCCTGGGTGGCACAGTCCGTTAAGCGTCCGACTTCAGCCAGGTCACGATCTCGCGGTCCGGGAGTTCGAGCCCCGCGTCGGGCTCTGGGCTGATGGCTCAGAGCCTGGAGCCTGTTTCCGATTCTGTGTCTCCCTCTCTCTCTGCCCCTCCCCCATTCATGCTCTGTCTCTCTCTGTCCCAAAAATAAATAAACGTTGAAAAAAAAAATTAAAAAAAAAAAAAAAAGAAGTAAGGATCGTTGTCAGATTGGAACAACAGAAGTTCTGATTCTCCAGGCTGGCACAGAACATCAAATCTCTCAGCGAGGAAGCGTTTCAAGATTACCGCCCTTCACCCTCTCCCGCTGGTCCTACCACTTCGTAATTTGCTTCTGGGTAAATTTCGGCAGGTTTGGTGAGTTGTCACCATTTCGCCCCAGCAGGTTTCAAAGACATAAGAAGGAAAGAAGCAGAAGAAAAAAAAAAGAGTGAAAACTAAAGTGCTTCATGGTAATTTGCCAATCAATTTCACGTTAAAAAAAAAAAAAAAATCTGTCCTTCTCTTGGGTTCAAACGTGTGTTGTCATTCTCACACACGAGGGCACTGTTTCTACAGTTTACATTCCTGTGGGGCCCCGATCCTGGAACTCCCAGCTGGGGGCGTGGAGAGAAAAGGGGTTGCCTGTGTGTTCTAGGCTCACCAGGTTTTCCAGGATGGGTGGGACACGTTCCAATGCAGGAATGAACAGTGTCAAGGGCTCCAGGGCCCGCAGGCCAGCCTTCTGCTGCTGGCTGGAACCTCCTGAAGGTCAGAACCAATGAACTGCGTGTCATTTTTCTGTGCAGCAGCAGAATTAGGGTATCAAAACACCGCCTTTGGAGTCTGACCTAGAATCGAAGATGTACGGAGCAAATTAAACTCTTCGTAGCCTAAAACGGAAGTATTATCTCATAGCACCGTGGGGAGGACGAAACGCGATGGCTGATCTACCTAAAGCGTGCAAAAGAGCACGTGACACATTAGAGGGACTTCTACTTAAGTAGAAGCCAGCACCATTTGTCCCTTGGCAGTACTGACATATAGTGGTGCTCAGTATGCGTTTGAGAGAATAAGTGAATAACCTGAGTGTGTAGAATTAAAAAGATTTTACTGGATGACGAAAACTAACACTTTTAGGCTTTTCCAGCGTGGAGTCGGCTTGCCGACTCACCCGAGGACAAAGTAACCAGTCTAGTAAGTGGTGAGCACTCTATAGCTGTCATCTTTCCTACTCCTCGTTTGACTGGCAAGAAAAACGGGGATCCGAGCGGGGAGAGATGATGTGCCCAAGGTTTCAGAGCTGATTAGTGAATCCGGACAGGACCCCAGGACTCCCGAGTCCTAGCACAAAGCTTAACCCTTAGGGAGCCACCACACAAGCTGGGACCTGAAGGGTGGGAGGAATGAGGGCCAGGAGCATCTTTTTAAATATATATATATTGACGTTTATCTATTTTTGAGAGACAGAGCGTGAGCGGGGGAGGGGCAGAGAGAGAGGGGGACACAGAATCTGAAGCAGGCTCCAGGCTCTGAGGTATCAGCCCAGAGCCCGACGTGGGGCTCGAACCCACAAACCACAAGATCGTGGCCTGAGCCGAAGTCAGACACTTGGACACTCAACCGACTGAGCCACCCAGGCGCCCCAAGGTGCTGGGAGCATCTTAATGGACTGATCCTAGAAAACAAAAGACTTTTGGTTTGACAGTGCTGGGGAGAGGCACCCTTACCCAGCAGTGACCCCACCCGGGTGTGGAAAGAGCTAGAGCCACAAGAGAGCCTCTCACTTGCTCTGGGGCCACCCACGGTTGGCCTCTAATCTGAGGGATCTGCAGGGAGAGCTCTCACTTCCTCAAATGTGTTTCTTCCTGTGTCACAAGGAGCCTTGGGTCACCTCCTTCCTTTGTGCAATGAGGTCCAAAGAGCAGTTTCTGCCTCTGCTTCTCTTCTTTCCTGTTACCACTTTCTGTAGCTTTTCCAGACCCGGCTCTCAGGCTGCAGCCTTACTCCAGCGCCGGTTGACTTTCTCTATGAGAAGCTTCCCCCGCCCCCCACCCCCAACTTCCTGACCTCAACAGAATAACAGAATGACTCATGACATGAGCCCTGAGGTCCCTCCCTTTGCCTAGGTAAAGCGGGCTGTCCTGAGCAGTCCCAGCCCTGTACTTTTGATTCACCAGCAGGAAGCAATAAAAGGAACTTTCCACGTGCCTGCTGTAACCATACTTCCCAAATTCAAGAGCAGGACTCATTACCAGACCGGGCACGTGCCTTTCTAAGGACTTCCAAGCAAAAGACGTGGAATTGGGCCATGCCATAAAATCCGGGATGGATGGCTGCCGTGCCCGTACCTCATGGAAAATTCTCTCCCAGGGGGATGTCTGCCGGAAGTGCCATCTGCTTTTGCCACAGATTCAAGACTGAGTGCGGCTCAGACACCAGACACGGTGGGCCATTGGTGAACTCCTGCTCGGGTCCTGCCAGGAATCAGGAATCTGAACAACTGTGTCCCGAAAACTTCTCTCCTTGATTTCACGTGCTGGTCGTAGCTACATGAAAACCTTAGTCCCATGAAGACTTTGCAAGTCTTGCAAGACTTTGCAAGACTTTCACCTTCAACTCTTGGAATGCAGCTATGATTTCTTTTTTTTTTTTTTTTTTCTGATAGAGAGATTTTTTTTTTTTTTTCCTGAGAGAGAGAGAGAGAGAGAGAGAGCTGGGGAGAGGGGCAGTGGGAGAGAGATAGAATCCCTACACAGGCTCTATGCCCCAACTGTGATTCTTTAAAAATATCAATCCAACAACCTAAGCGTATCCAGGAAATACTCTAATGACCCGTTTCACATGTCAGGTACTGTGCTGTGCACTGTCAGAGATAAAATGGTGGAAAATGCCATTAACTCGAACTCTCTCGGGTCCCTGCAGTTGAGCATCTGACTCGTGATTTCAGCTCAGGTCATGATCTCACGGTTTGTGAGTTCGCGCTCCGCGTTGGGCTCTGTGCTGACAGCTCAGAGCCTGGAGCCTGCCTCGGATTCTGCGTCTCCCTGTCTCTCTGCCCCTCCCCTGCTTGCACTCTCTCTCTCTCTCTCTCTCTCTCTCAAAAATAAATAAACATCTTTTTTAATTAAGAAAAAAAAAGGCCACGACAACAGAAAACAACCTCTGGGTGTTCCAGGGCAATAGCTTCTGCTTTTCAGGTGACCGTCACCTGCTCTAGGCTCTCGGAGACATTAGTTTGAGTCTCCCAACATCCCAGTGAGATGGGCAGGAACTAATTGCACAGAGGGGAGGACTGAGGTTCAGAGAGGTTCCAAAACTTGCCAAGATCACGCTGAAGGGGCAGAGCTTTGGCTCCGAACGAGACAATCTGTCTCTGAATCCAGACCTTTTAAAGAAAACGTAAATGGCCTCTTCAATCCACGCCAGAGCTTCCTAGAGTCGTTGTGGTAGCAGTTGTCCGTTCTCCCCAATATCTATCCTCTTTTTCTACAGCAATAGAGGTCCTTACTGCACAGTAGCAACTCAGCTAAAGACTGGAGTTCCCAATTTTCCTTGCGGCTACAATTGCCCGTGTCATTCTGTTTGGGCCAACGTGAAAGATAAGTAGAAGCGAGACGTTCACCCTTCCCGGTCGGCCCCTTAAAACACAAGCCTGTGGTCTCCTTCCTGGCGGCGGGGACATGGAATGTGATGGAAGGTCTGAGGAAGCCATTTTGGAGTCTGAACTAGTCACCTGAAATTTTATGTGAGCGGGAAATAACTTAGTCTGAGTCCCTGCATTTCGTTATGTCTGTTACAGCAGCCTCACATTTACTCTAACTAATCCCCCTCATCCCTACTGTCTTTTGTCTCACTGGCCCACCTCGGAAAAGTATGCAGGCATCCGTCAGCCCACACCAAGGGGTTCTAGACTTTGATAAGCAGAGAGAGGGCCCAGAGTGATGCTGGCACAATCCAGAGGTCTTTTTTTACGAGCAGGGTAGATCCGGGATACCTGGAGGGAAGAGAGCCTTGTGGCATTCGGGAAACACAACCGTGAGGGCCATTATTTGGCTGACGTGCCGAAACCATGATTAGAGCCTCTGGGCTCTTGGGGCCAGAGGGGCCTGGGCAAGAACGGCTGCTTGGTTTGAGTTCAGGCGCCCCAGTTCCAATGGCTCCAATCTCCACCAAGAAACCTGTGAAAGGCCTGTCTCTGTGTTGGACTGACACCAGCCCGAACCACTACCAAGAATCAGGAGAAGCTTTCTAAACAAATCAGGAACAATTCGACATTGTGCAAGTGGGTAGATCGCCGTCTGTGTCCGAGTCCCACAGGGAGCCTTCTTGGATGTCTGCTGACAGTCCCTGGGGAGAGGAGTTGCTCCCCTGGGAGATCAATGCTTTAACCCCACCTCCAGCCAAGTTCTCGGCCCTCACCTGCCCCCATGTCGCTCTTCTTGGGCAGTGGGGCCAGAGGAACCTTGGAAGATGAGCTCCAGTCCCACTTGCCCATCCCTTATCAGGGGCTTGTCTGTCTTCTGTCTAGTACAGTCAAGTGAAGGTTCATAAGCACCCCAGGACATCTTCTTCCCCTTCCAGACAGTGACGGGGGCTCCAGGCCCATAGGGTATGAGTCAGACCAGCCCACCCCAGCCCAGCTCTCCCTACTCTCCTGGAATGTCCCAGAGTATGTATGCAAGTTTTATGTAGTATGGGGATAAAAAAATTATTTTACAGCCATGTGTTTATTTTAAATGGCACAGAAAAGGGGCGCCTGGGTGGCTCAGTCGGTTAAGCGTCCAACTTTGGCTCAGGTCACGATCTCGCGGTCCGTGAGTTCGGGCCCTGCGTCGGGCTCTGTGCTGACAGCGCGGAGCCTGGAGCCTGCTTCGGATTCTGTGTCTCCCTCTCTCTCTGCCCCACCCCTGCTCGTGTGCTCTCTCCCAAAAGTAAATAAACATTTTAAAAATGGTACAGAAAAAAAACACCTAGCATGCTAAACTTAGGCTTTCATGGGTATGATCGCTTAGGACAACGCTAATTTAGAAGTGAGCAAATTTAACATAGATGTAATAACGCACCAGATAAATGACGGTACAGGTGGCTCGTGCCCCTGAAATAAACACAATGCTGGAAAAGTGCTCTTCGCTAGGCTCGTCCTCCATCTGACAAGGAAAACTATGATGGCTCAGTGGCCCCAAACACTCTTTCTAACTAACAAGTGCAGTCTCTGTCCAGGAGGATTATCTACCTGGGAAATCGAATCAAGATTGCAGTGGTTTAAGCAAATCAGATTTGCATTTGAGGGAAATGGTTCCGAAGTAGACTCGTCAGATAAAATCCAGGACACCCGGCGCAATCTGAACGTTAGATGAATTATTGCACAGGACACGTTTACACTAAAAATCACTCATCGATGACCTGCAATTCGAATTTATCCGGACATCGGCCCTGTATTTTTGGCCAGTAAGGCCGGCAACCCTGATCTGAAAGTTGAAGTTCTTCCCAGCAGCTCCGGCGTCCCCCCTGCATGCCAGTCCTAGCTAATCAGTAAGATATCTGTCACGTCTCTCAAATCCTCCCCTCGGTTCCACTTTAGGTCTTTATCCTGTCTCAGCTGGCGTGGCCAGGGCCTCCCGATTTGTTTCCCTGTCTGCAAACACATTGCCTCGAACTCTATCTGTGGCCGGAATATCGTCCCCAAATGCAGTTCTGAGCCCTGCAGAACAGCCTCTGCTGCGCTGCCCCTTCTCCTTCCAAAGTCGACGCCCCTGAGGGTGTCCAGATCCCGCCCCCACCCTTGTCCACCGTCCCCGCCACACAGGAGGCTTTGCCCTCCCTGTAGTGCACCTGTTCGTGTATCCTCTGGTTTGCTTCTGCTCATCTCGCCCCCGTCTGGAGAGATCCGCTTCGGGTCTTCGTCGTTAATCCCAATGTCTCCTCCTCGGTGAAATCGCGGCAGCACCTCTGCTCTCTCTGCCCCCCCCCCCCCGTCAGAGGGCATCCGGAGGGCACCGGCCACACGTCTAACGCAGGTGTGCAGCGGGGCACCTGAGAGGAGGGGCCGGAGTGGGGTCTTGACGACAGCAGGCGCCGCCTGGGGACCCTCAAGGCACTAGGAGGTTAGGAGGAGGGAAAAGGGACAAGAGAAAGAGGAGAAGAAGCGTAGGCGCGTCGCTTCTCCCTCCTCCTCTTCTATCAGAGTCACAACAGGGCCTGCACACAACTGTGTGCACACGATCTTAGTGAATCCACAGGCTCCCTACAGGCCCACACCCCCAGTTCTCAGATGCGGAACAGGAGGCAAGACACGTTGCATGATCGGCCCCCCAAACACATAACTAGTCAGAGAAATAGCTAGACTTAGAGCCCAAGTCTTCTTTCCATAGGTCGGTAGTGAGTACTATTTACCCAACTCTGCCACCCAGTCCCCTGCCCCAGCTCCCCCTCCCCCAACCCCTCACTGTCCCAGAAGGAGGGCCGGGACAACAAATCATTTCTTCTTTGAAGGCCGCGTGCTCATTAGTCTGTACATGACATCTTCATTTGGCTTGGGGTATTGAATTGGCAGGGATTGGGAATTTGCCATGAATGTTTTCGGGAAAAAAAAGAAAAAGAAAAAACAGAGGATTCTTTAATTGCTACTGAGGCAAACAGCTGGGAAAGCAGGGCTGACGTATTTTGCAAGAGGGAAAAAGCAGGATGGAAGTCTGGGGTAGAACTGGAACCCTTTCCCTGACCCTGGACTCCAGAACATTCCAGGCAGCATTTTCACTCAGAAGGGACTTGATTGCAGAATCAGGAGCTCAGGTGTTTTTAGACCCTAAAATTATCTTAAATTACACCATCACGTAGGTCTCCTTGGAACTTCCAAATGCTTCAAAGGTTTTTTTTTTTTTTTTCTTTTCCTTTTCCTATTTTTAAAATTGAGTTGTATACAGCCTAGAATGCACAAAATGCACACAATCTTAAACGTCCGGGTCAATGGGTTCTTACACAGGCACACCCTGACCCTCAGATCATGATGTAAGACCTTTCCATCACCTTGAGAGGGTCCCTCTGCCCCTCCCCAGTCAATACCAGTACCTGGGAACGGCTACTATTCTGTCATCCGTCGCCCTCCATTAGCGGTGTCTGCGCTCAAACATCACGGCACAGATTCCTCTGTGTCTGGTTCTCAGCATTAGGTGTTTGAAATTCGTCTGTGTCTGTGTGTGTGTGTCAGTGGTTTCCTTTTGGTGCCGCGTAACATTTTGTGGTATGAATGACATACACTGTTAGTTGATCGGTTTCTTCCATACTTGGGGTGTTTCTAGCTTTGTACTATCGTGAATCGATCCGACGTGAACATTCGCGTACCTGTCTTTCACAGATCTGGCCACTCCCTTCCCTCGGGAGTTTACCTAGGCGTGGGTGGCTCGGTCGCGGAGCTGACTCTCGAAGTGTTGAGAAAATGAATGAAGTGACTCTGCCCCTAACCACGTGAAGCAGACAGCCCTGAAGCAAACCCGTAAAGTAGATAAAGACACATTTATTATCTCAAAGTTTTCACTACCCCTTCCCCCTTCGACACCAAGACCCATTTCAGATACCTAGTCCGCTTGAGTTGGCTCACTGTCATTCCATTAGTGTGGAAATTTGTAAGCGTACACAAACACCCGGAGAGAATTCCCACGTGTCACACTCAGTTTCTTTCTTTTTTTTTTTTTAAATGTTTATTTATTTTTGAGACAGAGAGAAACACAGCATGAACGGGGGAGGGTCAGAGAGAGAGGGAGACACAGAATCTGAAGCAGGCTCCAGGCTCTGAGCCGTCAGCCCAGAGCCCGACGCGGGGCTCGAACTCACGGACCATGAGATCGTGACCTGAGCCAAAGTCGGACGCTCAACCGACTGAGCCATTCAGGCGCCCCTGTCACACTCAGTTTCAACAGCGGTTGGTGTATTCCCAATCCTGCCTTATCTATTCCCTTAACCATGTTTTTTTCTGGAATGCTTTAAGGCGAATCTTGGACCTCACGTAAGTTTAGCTGTGAATGCTTCGGTATATATACTTCTGCATGTAATACCTTTTGTATTTCACATCACTATCACACGTGAGAAAAGGAACATAGATTTCTGCATATCATCTGTGTTCAAACTTTCCTGACTCTCTCAAAACCATTGGTGTGTTTGAATCACGATCCAATGAGATTCTGCGCATGGCATTTTTGATACTTCTCTTCAGTCTCTCTCAATTTAGAACAGTTCCTTCTTTCCTTTTCTTTTTTAAGACATCATTTATTTGTAGAAGAAACCAGTTCATTTGATCTATAGAAATTCCTCTTCCAGGTTTTGCTGATTAAAATCCTCATGGGCCGTACATGAACCATACGCTCTATTTCCTGTAAACTGGATGTTCGAGCTGGACCATGATTGGAGCCTGGTTGAATTTTTAATTTCTTTCCTTTTGCAAATGTCTCATCGGAGGCGGCCCCGTGTGCTCCCTGTCGCATCGGACCAGGAGGCACATGACCTCTTGTTTCCTACTTTGAAAGATGCTGAGATTTATCACGTGTGTCCCTTCCCCGTCCACTCCTTCCAAGGCTTTGCTGGCCTCCTCCTCTGCCTTTGCCCCTCCTGCAATGCCTGAACACCGCACTGGCCGACCCACAGACCCTCAGTGTAACGACCACCCCACACTTTATCCCCTTGCCTGGCGCTTCAGTCTGTGGCCTCCGCACTTCATCTCACGGCCCAATCAGAGAGACTGAGATCATGTGCAAAGCCAAAGGGCCTCTCCGATCACCTCCGTCAGCCCCGTGGTGGTCTATGGTCCTAGAATCTCCACTCAGGAACTCCCTTGAAAGTCAGGCAGTTCAACTCTATCAAAACGTGGGTGCTCTATGACATCTCCATAAGTGATTGCCTGAGACTGACTTCTCAGTTCACCGGCGTTCCCTCCCTCTCACAAGAGACCACAGTTGGAAGCCGAGTTGTTATAAAGGTGCTCTCCTTGTTGGTCCCCATACATGCTGTTTTAGAAATTTTTACTCAGTTAGTCGTGGGCCTGGTCTTTGACACAAACCCACAGGTGCGGCACCAGTGAAGGTAACTTCCGACTGGGCATATTCAAGCGTTCATGCTTCTACTCCCCTCCCCCCCCCACCTTGTATAGTTTTATTTGTGGTTAAAACAAAAAATATATAGGATAAGATGTACCCTCGTAACCATTTTTAAGTGTACGTTCAGTGCTGTTAACTCTATTCACATTGTTGTGTAGCAGATCTCCAGAACCTTTCATCTTGCAAAACCAGAAACTCTGTACCCATTTGAATAACGATCTCCCTCTCCCCTCCCCCAGCCCGTGGCAGCCACCGTTCTACTTCCTGTTTCCGTGAATTGGACTACTCTACATCTCTCATATAAGTGGAGTCATATAGTATTTGTCTTTTTGCGATTGGCTTATTTCACTCGGCATAATGTCCTCAAGGTTCATACGTGTTGTAGCATGTGACAGATTTCCCTTATTTT